GGGGGGGGGGGGGGGGGGGGGTTCGAACCTTTTCCGCGTAGCAGTTTGTGAACTCCCAAAGGCTGGTTTACAAAGCGCTGCGAAGGTTCCTAACTCTGGGAATTCCCTCTAAGACGCTGCGGTGCTTCCTCAGCGAGCATCGCTGAGTCAACTTTCAGCAATATTTATATTATTTCCCAGTAAAACAAATGCGATTTACCAGCGTTATTACCATAAACATTAGGGAAGAAAGCAAGGGAATGTATTTAGATGAAATAGAAGGGGAAAATAACCTAAGAGTTATATTAATGCAGACACCAAAGCAATTACAAAGCTTATGCCTTTCCCCATCCCCTCGTCCCCTCCCCACCTGTTCCCCTTCTGGCCTTTTACAGCGAACGCCCTTCGCTGCCAGAAAACTAGAAACTAGAACCACCATCTGACCCAGCAGTCCCTCCACTGGGCATATATACCCTGCCTGCCTGCCTGCTCAGTCGTGTCCGACTCTGTGTCCCCATGGACCATAGCCCGCCAGGCTCCTCCGTCCATGGGATTCTCCAGGCAAGAACACTGGAGTGGGTTGCCATTTCCTTCTCCAGGGATCTTCGCGACCCAGGGATGGAGCTCAGGTCTCCGGCATGGGCAGGTGGGTTCTTGACCACTGAGTCACCTGGGAAGCCAGAGCAGGAGACAGAAAGACAGCATTTTTGCTCAGTATTTACCATCTTAGCATCAAAAGGGATGCTCCTAGAGAGCTGGTGGAATGGGTCATCAGTGTTCTGTGGCGTCATAAGAGCATTGTCCAAGTCCAGTGCCTTGTTTTGACATAAAAGCACGTCAGAATTTTGTACAGTGTGTGGTTGCACTTTCTCTCCTCACAAGTGGCATTTATTATTTCATATGTCAGGGGAGAGACGTCCCTGTCCAGACCTGCCTTAGGGTAGATGAGAAAGCAGGTGTTTAATGTCAGTTGCTAGCTGGCTTTTCCTCTGAACGCAACCCACTGGCAGTTGCTAGATGTGAATACTTTGCATCGATTCCAAGAATAAATTTGCCATCTCAAATGTTGTTAGTGACTTATAGAGGAAGAATCATGCTTGATTATCCCATCATATTTTTTTTAGTAAACCTAAAAAATTGAGTGAATAATTCAGAACTCCTGAATGTAGCTTCTTAATAAAACTCCATAAAGGCAGTCATTGAATTATATGCATTTATTATTGAGATTCCTCCTGTAAGAGTCTGTAAAGTGATAAATGAAATGTGGGAACGTAGGACCTTTTCCGAATCCACCAGAGGGCACTAGATGTAAATGATAAAAAAAACATTTTTGTATTTGCCAAAGAGTTATTTCAAGCTCACCTTTTTGGGCTTGTCCTTGTCCTCAGTGTTTCTCTTACCTTTCCTTCTAGTATGCAACGACTTATACTGTAGTTAGTCGTCTTCCCCCTCTTAAAAATAGAGATTCTTTTTTGAAAATTCTAGCTTTCTAGAATCATGAGAACTCCTGAAGGTCTCAGGAGAATTTTCAGAGTGTTTCCTAACATTTACGGGCTTTTCTGGGAGGTAAGAGCTTTAGAGATAGAGAATCGCTTCCAGGAGGAGAACCCAAGACGTCCTGCCCAAGTGGGCCCTTCTCCCTGGAGGGGCATCCTGTGAACTGGACTCCAGCCTGAGGGGCACGTGGCTCTGACCACCTGACTCCTCAGCTGGGGTCACAAGCCCGGAGTTCCCAAAACAACCCATTAGCTGGCTTGGTCAGAACCTCATGGGGAGGGTGGGAGCCATCATCAGTGAGGCTCTAGCCCAGTGGACATGCCACCCCCTCGTCTCCCACTGTGTAGGTGTTTTAGGTCCTCCATTGTAGATGGCTGAATTGAGAGAGTGAGTTTCAGTGGAAAGTTCCCACAAGATCAGAGAAAGACACCTTGTGCTCAGCAGTGACCTCTTTCAACCTAGGATGGCAGAGGTGGGATAGACTTTATGTGATGCTGGGGTTTGTTGACTGCTAGATGTCTGGGATGCCTTCAAAGCCTGGTGGCTCAGATGGTGAAGAATCTTGTCTGCAATGCAGGAGACCTGGGTTTGATCCCTGGGTCAGGAAGATGCCTTGGAGAATGGAATGGCAACCCACTCCAGTGTGCTTGCCCGGAGAATCCCATGGATGGAGGAGCCTGACTGGCTATAGTCCGTGGCTTCGCAAAGAGTCGAACATGACTGAGTGACTAACACTTTCTTTTCTTTCAAAACCCACAGTTGGCTTCGAAATAGCTCACTTGGCCAAAAGGTGTGTTTAACACATATTTTTAACCTCTGTAGCCAATGTTCCTGGATGTCTGGAGTAATTATGCAGTTAGAAGAGAACTCCATATATTCTGTGAGCAACAGTAGATAAGTTCATTGAGATCAATTCTATTTTCAGACATTCGATGCACCCATTTCCTTTTGGCTGATTCAGCATTGCTTTTCCTTAAGAGGAGACTTGAATGCTTTTTCTACAAATTAACCTTTGTCATAATAATAGCAGGTCTTTTTCAGAGCAAAGACAACAGCCATTCCTTTCTCCATGGGGTCTTCCTGGCCGAGGGATTGAACCCAGGTCTCCCGCACTGTGGGCAGATTCTTTACCATCTGAGCCACCAGGAAATCCCCAAAGATATAGCTTGCACTGTGGGCAGATTCTTTACCATCTGAGCCCCCAGGAAATCCCCAAAGATATAGCACGAGCTTGTTATTAATAACTTTTCAAAATCTAGAGTAAGCTAAGCTTCCAGGTCAAGGGTGGGAAGTTTTTAGAATTTTGTTTTGTTGAACAAGAGAGACCTGTGCCTGTGTGTGCGCATTCATAGTTCATGTTGATTTATAGTCACACATTCATATAACATGAGACAGGGCATGTTGGCCCAGTGGTGTGCTGGTAACTGTTTAACAACAGATTCTTGGAGGCTCTGGTTTGTCAGGTTTGCTGGTTCCCATGGGCCAAATGCTCCCGCTGTGGCTGATGACAAGCTATGGGTGTGATGCACGGAACATGCAGTTAGGACTCAACGAGCAAAATCCATTCTCCAAAGTTGGTACCGGATGGACCGTGTACACTCACCGGTGGTCCACGTATCATGCACTCTGTCTGAAACTGGAGTCTCCCAGGACTTGGTGTTTGGTCAAAAACAGCTCTTGAAATCAAGTTGATCAGGGTGCCGGCTGCAGCAGCTGTGTGTGTATTTCTTCTTTAAAACGCCTCGGTTGTGCTGAGGTCTTATTTCAGGGATTCTAAAAGATTAGGAAGCTCACTAATTTTGTTTTTTTCTTGATTTCACAAGCCAGTAGTTTGGGGGATTATAATTTTAAACCTTAAGCTTGAGAGTTAGTTTGAAATTGTCATTTCACACCAGTGATATATTACCTTCTCTTGGAGTAGTGGTAAGTGCACGGGGGGAGAAGTCATGCTTACTTTGTTCATTCATGGAATTCTTTAGCTATGAGCCTCTTCACGGTCATCTACACAGAACTGACAGTGCGTATTTGATGCGGAGGACTGCTGCTTGATAAGAGGAGTCAGGGTTTCTCCACCTTGGAGATGCTCTAGATCTTTCGTTGTGGCATCCTGTCCTGTGCGTGGAAAAATATGTACCAACCTTGCTGGACTCACCCACTACATCCCCACTGCCATCTCCTTCTGCTTTGTGAAAACCAAAGTGTCCCCAGAAGTCCCCAGCGTCTCCTGGAGGTGGGGCAGGGGTAGCACCCCCGCCGAGAGCCACTGGACTCAGACTTCACTCCTGTTCCCCTTCATCCTTGGAAAGGACTGTGATTGGTGACCGTGAGCAGCTTCACGGTGGTTGCAGCCAGTGTACTGTGCGAGCACGCGCCGGGTCTCCAGAGCCGACCCTTAACCTCATCAGGAATTTTGTGAGCTGGTTTGTTGAAAATCTAAAGAAACTTGCAGGGAAATCATTCATGTTCAAAAGAAGATTAGGACTTCTCTGGGGCACCAGTGGTTAGCTTCTACTGCAGGGGCTTGAGTTCGATCCCTGGTCCGGGTACTGAGATCCAGAAAATAGATAGATAAATGAAATAACATAAAATTTAAAAAAAGAACAAAACTAAAACTCTGAAAACTCGTCACTTCACAATGCTTTAAAAGTTTCGCTGTTATTTCTCCTCTTGACAGTGTTTGCCTGTGTTGCCTCGGAGTAGTGCCTTACCATCCCCACCTTCTCTGGGTGGCATCACGGATTCAGTGAACTTGGGTGAACTCTGGGGGATGGTGAGGGACTGGGATGCCAGGCGTGCTGCAGTTCATAGGATCGCAAAGACTCAGATATGATTTAGCGGCTGAAGGACAGCAGCATCGCCTCTGTATGGTGGAAATACTTTGTAACGGTGTGCTACCATGCAAACCTCTGAACTCCACATTCACTGATGTCACGTGGGTAATTGACATAAGCCTCGGTGGGAGTATCTATACCACAGGAATTGGCAAATGCTTTCCACCAGGCCTTCACCCCCACCCCACCCCCATCATAGCTGGTTGTGAAAGATGTATCAGCAGAATGCTGTGTGTGTTTCTGTAAAAGAGGCTTAAAAGTTACTTTGAAAAAGAATTGTGATAGGTCCCCCTTCCCCATAAAGGGTAAAGATTGTATGTCCTCCAAACTGAAGGTCAGAAGAACATGACTTTATGTCATCTGGGAACAATCTGATTTTTTGAATGGTAATCATCTTTTTATGTGCAATAAATCTGCTCNCTTTGAAAAAGAATTGTGATAGGTCCCCCTTCCCCATAAAGGGTAAAGATTGTATGTCCTCCAAACTGAAGGTCAGAAGAACATGACTTTATGTCATCTGGGAACAATCTGATTTTTTGAATGGTAATCATCTTTTTATGTGCAATAAATCTGCTCATTACCAGGGCTTGGAACAGTCCCCAGGCTTTGTCCTCGTTCCAGAGCCGCTGTCGGGATGGAAACAGGCGGGTGTGAGGTGGAGACCCCGCGGGGGCTCATAGGGCAGGAAGAAAGGTGTTAACACAACCACGCCACACTAGCTTGCCCCCTGAGTCCAGAAAGCTGGATGAGGAAGAGGGCTGGGGGAAACGCAGCTACATGAGCAAGAGCTTTTCCCTGTTTTTAGGAGTGGCGAGGGACAGGCTTCTTTTTTATACAGTTCATGGGGTTCTCCTGGCAAGTTTACTGGGTTGGTTTGCCATTCCCTCCTCCAGTGGACCGTGTGTTAGAAAGCAAAGCTGTCACTTTGCCGGCAAAGGTCTATATAGTCAAGGCTATGGTCTTTCCAGTAGTCATGTACAGATGTGAGAGTTGGACTATAAAGAAATCTGAGTGCTGAAAAATTGATGCTTTTGAACTGTGGTTTTGGAGAAGACTCTTGAGAGTCCCTTGGATTTCAAGGAGATCAAACCAGTCCATCCTTAAGGAAATCAACCCTGAATACTCATGGAAGGACTGATGCTGAAGCTGAAACTCCAATACTTTGGCCGCTTGATGCGAAGAACTAACTCATTGGGAAAGACCCTGGTGCTGGGCAAGATTGAAGGCAGAAGGAGAAGGGGTGACAGAGGATGAGATGGTTGGAAGGCATCATGCTTCAGTGGACATGAGCTTTGGCAAACTCGGGAGATGGGGAGTGACAGAGAGGTGTGGCGTGCTGCAGTCCATGGGGTCGCAGGTGGACACGACTTGGTGACTGTGATCACACACTTACACCAGGATATTAATGCCTAATTTGTTTCCTCCCCTTTTAAAATTATTGCATAGAATTTAAGCAGGTTTGTTTTACTTTCTTGTTTTCCTCAGTAAAATATGAAAGAATCACAGTGCGTTTTCCCTTACTAGACACCAGGGCCCTGCTTTGATACATATAGCAAAGTTTGGTTGTCCAGTCGCCAGCCAGCACCTGCTGATTGTCTGACCTGTATGGGCCCCAGATCACCACTTACCTGGACGAAGGGCCAGGTCTGTGAGCCCCGGAGCAGCCCTGCAGGGCTTGATGTCAAAGCCCTTGACCTGAGGAAGTCTGGGCTCAAATAGGCCACAGCCAAGCCCTCGGTGATGGACTGGGTGCCAGGCCCCTGCCCCTCACCTTGCTGAGGAACTCATCACCAGGGGCTCTGGGCAGCCCTTACCATCCCCACCTTCTCTGCCTCGCCCAAAGCAAACACTTGCTTCTACGATCATCCACTGGCTGCTACCCACTCTCTCTGGTCCAGTGTAACCCCTTGGATACCTGCCAGGACGGCCCAGGGACTTGTGGGAAAGTACCTTTACCAAAAGAGCTTTGGTTGTAAAGGAAAATTTCTTTATCCAGAAAAAGAATTACTCAAGTACTGTTCCCATGTGTATGGGGGTGCTCACTGTGTCCGACTCTTTTATGACCCCGTGGACTGTAGCCCTCCAGGCTCCTCTGTCCATGGGATTTTCCAGGCAAGGATACTGGAGTGGGTTGCCATTTCTGCCTCCAGGAGATCTTCCTGACCCAGGGATTGAACCCACATCTCCCACATTGCAGGTGGATTCTTTACTGCTGAGCCACTGGAGAAGCCCATAATTAGAATAATGTTACCTAATTAGTTAAAATGTCCCTAAAATCAGGCAGAGGAACCAGAGATCAAATTGCCAACATCCGTTGGATCCTAGAAAAAGCAAGAGAATTCCAGAAAAACATCTACTTCTGCTTCATTGACTACGCTAAAGCCTTTGACTGTATGGATCACAACAACTGTGGAAAATCCTGAAGGGGGAATACCAAACCACCTTAACTGCCTCGTGTGAAATCTGTATGCAGGTTAAGAAGCAACAGTTAAAACCGGACATAAACAACAGACTGGTTCCAAATTGGGAAAGGAGTACTTCAAGGCTGTATATTGTATTGTCACCCTGCTTATTTAACTTATATGCAGAGTACATCATGAGAAANGATGTTTTTCTGGAATTCTCTTGCTTTTTCTATGATCCACTGATGCTGGCAATTTGATCTCTGGTTCCTCTACCTTTTCTAAATCCAGCTTGAACATCTGGAAGTTCTCAGTTCACATATTGCTGAAGCCTGGCTTGGAGAATTTTGAGCATTACTTTACTAGCGTGTGAGATGAATTCAATCATGCAGTAGTTTGAGCATTCTTTGGCATTGCCTTTCTTTCAGACTGGAGTGAAAACTGGCCTTTTCCAGTCCTGTGGTCACTGCTGTGTTTTCCAGATTTGCTGGCACATTGAGTGCAGCACTTTCACAGCATCATCTTTTAGCATTTGAAATAGCTCAACTGGAATTCCATCACCTCCACTAGCTTTGTTCGTAGTGACGCTTCCTAAGGCCTACTTGATTTTGCACTCCAGGATGTCTGGCTCCTGGATGGTGTGAGTGATCACACCATCGTAGTTATCTGGGTCATTAATATCTTTTTTGTATAGTTCTTCTTTACAAAAGGCATTGATCATTGCCTTCCTGAGTGATCAATGCAAAGAAATAAGGGAAAGCAATAGAATGGAAAAGAGGAGAGAGCTCTTCAAGAAAATTAGAGATACCAAGGAACATTTCGTGCAATGATGGATACAATAAAGGACAGAAATGGTATGGACCTAACAGAAACAGAAGATATTAAGAAGAGGTGGCAAGAATACACAGAAGAACCTAGCTAGTACTGTTCACTGAATGACCAACTAGCACTTCTGTAGGACGATGTTTTATTTTACCTTATGACTCCAGGAAGCATGTCCACCTCATGCAAAAGGACCAGTTATTAAGCATAAGACTGTCTCCTGAGAACATTTATTGGTGGAGGATCAGGATGAGAATGTTAGGATCAAGTCTTATCCTACATGTAACAGGAGGTTGCATCCTGAGTCTTAAGGGTCCATGAACTGCAGTGTAGGTCTGGTCCTCTGGTGCTGGGGTCTGACACCCCTTTCAAAGGCATCTTAGAGGGAATTTGGAGAAGGCCCAATGTCTTGCTTGTCTGCTATTTCCTGGTGTTTAGACAAAATGCAGGCTACGTAGCAAGTCTTCTCCAAAGCTGTGCAGGCCCATTGCTAGTACGCAGATGGAGACACATGCAAGATATGTTTAAATGTTTGAAAGATGTAAATCAAACCAATAAGTTGGCTAAAGTATTTCATAACCTCAGCTTTGACAGATCTTCCTTCAGATCTTCCTGGGTGGTGCTAGTGATAAGGAATCCACCTGCCAATTCAGGAGATACAGGAAATATGGGCTCAATCCCTGGGTTGGGAAGATCTCTTGGAGAAGGGAATGGCTACCCTCTCCAGTATTCTTGCCTGGAGAATCCCATGGACAGAGGAGCCTGGTGGACTATAGTCCAAGCGTTCACCAAGAGTTGGACAGGAATGAGCATGTCTGACTTTGGCAAATCTACCTTCACATGGTCTAAAAGCCCAGGTTCAAGCTTAGAGCATGGCAGTGCAGGAAGACACAATCCCTGGTGTGAAGTGACCCCATGTCTGTGGTCCACATTCTGTCCCACTGCCCAGAAACAACCTCTCCCTGACCTTTCAGTGGCAGAGATGATGTGTAATGGTGGGGATGAAAGAGAGACTTCTGATTTGAGCAATGAAAGATAAGCGATGCTTGTTTTTATCTTTCTGACTTACTTCATTCTGTATAACAGGCTTTAGGTTCATCCACCTCACAAAAACTGACTCAAATACCTTCCTTTTTATAGCTGAGCAATATCCCATTGTATGTATATATACCATATCTTCTTTATCCATTCATCTGTTGATGGACTTCCGGGTTGCTTCCATGTCCTGGCTATTGTAAATAGTGCTGCAGTGAACGCTGGGATGGAAGATTCCCTGGAGAAGGGAATGGCTACCTACTCCAGTATTCTTGCCTGGAGAATCCCATGGACAGTCGAGTCTGGTGGGCTACAGTCCATAGCGTAGCAAAGAGTTGGACATGAGTCTTGTTAACTGTTTTCTGAAAAATTATCAGTATTTTTAAGCTAAAATTTCTTATCAGTGGAATGAAGATGTTGGTAAAAGACAATATGACTAAATGAATGTTTAAAGCTATAAAAATGATTACTTATTATAATTATTCTAGTGATCCAAAAAGCGTATTCTTAGCTTCATTTGGTTTGTAATCTTTCTTCTAGTGATTGCTAGTCATAGCAATTGCTGGATTGGTAATATCACATTATAGGGACAACAGTGACTTCCCCAAAGGCCCCTTTTTAAGATTTCCCCTTTAAACTCTGATTTTATGCATTCAGTTTTGAGTTGAACAGGTGGGGGTTGACATTTCCACCGTCTTTCTTGCTGGGTGAAAATATCATCCAGTGTCAATTATATTCGAAGCCTTCCTGACCCTTTTCGGAACTCTGCAATTACTCAGCCACACATCCTCTCTCGATTTCAGACTATGAGCTGGTGTCTCCCTACGAGGTTGACCACAAGGGCAACTACGTGTCGCATGAAATCACGCACCCCCAGAGGAGGAAAAGGGCTCTGGCCCAGCTCGGAGATGACTCTCTGCACCTTCGGCTGAACGGCTTCAGGCATGACTTCCACCTGGATCTGAGAGCCTCCCGCAAGCTGGTGGCACCTGGATTTCTCATCCAGACTTTGGGAAAGCGGGGCACGAAATCAGTGCAGGCTTTCCCACCTGAGGACTTCTGTTTTTATCAAGGCTCCTTGCGATCCCACAAAAACTCCTCGGTGGCTCTTTCGACCTGCAAAGGATTGGTGAGTACAGCTCATGCCGCTGGTCATGAAGTCATGGGGACAGGGGAAAGGGGACAAGTGACAAGATTTGCCTTGTACTTGGGGTTGTTCTTCCACCATTGCAGTACAGACTTCTTTGATTTGTCAAAGCAGGAGGAAAAACGGCCAAGTGGTACTTTCTAAAGTGTGCTGGGTTGCTTCCTTCCCCCGCTTGGAGGCAGCGTGAAGGTCCTGACTTCTGTTGTTGTTCTGCAGTGAGTGAGGGAACAGCACTGCAGCTTGAAAACTGTACGTAAGAACTTACGGCCAAGTCTGAAGGCTGTGACTTCTTTGGGCTCATTGGTTCTGACTTATTGGTTCTTTAAACATGCTGGTCACTTACTAGCACTGGAGGAATGTCTTAATTTTGAATAGAACAACGGTATTCAACTGATTGGCCATGTGGATATTTGATCTAGTGCTTGAAAGTGCCTTATTTCTGCCATTCTGATGTTGGTGATGTATTTACAGATTTGAGCATTCATTTCAAACATAGTGATGAGTCCATGGCAGGCCAGTGCTGATCTTACTGGGCTAGAGATGCTACTGGTGTTTTCTTCTTGTCCTTAATATCTGAGCTACCAGGGAAGCCTAATATCTAAATTAGACATTAAACATCTTCGATACTGTAGGTGGTCCTCTTTGCTCCAACCCCGGCTTTGGGGGCTTCGGTTCACTTGCAAAGGTACGTGAATCCCTCAGGCTGACATAAGCTGAAATCTTAATGGCTTGCCTTTTACTTTTCTTAACATATTTCCATTTTAGAAGACAAAAGCTTAGAAGATGCTTAAATTCTTGGACACAAGCTAATTAGTCAGACACAGATCAGGGAAACATGACATAAGTAGCAAGCTGAAAAAAATGTGTTGTTGAAGCAACAAGGTCTTGATCATGTTTGGCAACCAGATTTTTGAACATTTCTTACATCTCCAGAAAATCATCTAAGCCTGTCTTATTCCTTTCCCTGTTTGGAAAGAGAATTCAGACTCTACATCTTGTAAGATTTTGTGTGCATGTATGTGAATACTAGATGCTGAAGGGGCATCCATAACTAATTCCTTGAAAAACTAAATATGTGAAAATGCTATGTTCTGTGAAATTTTTTTTTAATTAGCATTCTGCTTTTTAGGGAGACTTTGGTATGGTCTGGCCTCATGTCTACTATCTTTGGAAAGGCTTTTGGTTTGAGAACGGATACAGTGGGGAATCGTCAAGGGTAGGATGGTGGTGACTTGGCACACTTGTTAAGCGTGAAGATGGTGTGGTCAGTTTCTTCCACTGTTCTCTCGAGAAGCATAGACCTTCCTTAGTGAAAGAGCTATAACTCCTCATGTAAGGCTCTAAAGGAAGCTTCCTTGGCTTTCTTCAGCAAAGGCTCAGATCGGAAATGGGATCCATCTTTGTGGTAGGGAGGTGCGCCATGCCCTTCACAGCACCCTTGAGTTTGTTTGTGGAGGCTGAATAAGGTGCTTGCTCCCTACTAACCCAGCAGGGGCGCAGGCTCATGGATGCCCCGGGTCTTGTGAGCCAAGGCTTTTCCATGATGGCTGAGCTATGCCCTGGAGTCTGTCCCATGAATAGAGTTGGTTGGCAGCAGCTTGAGATTTCTGGCTCTCTTTGAACTCAATGGGAGTTAACACCAAAAGCTGTAAATGGCAGCTACATGAAAGATAACGTGAAAGGAACCGAAAAAAGACTCCTCTGCATAATAAATGTTGGAATTTAATATTTTGGTGACTGGAATAGAAAGCTGTGTGCTTTTACTATTAATCTTCCAAATACCTTAATTCCAACTAAAGTGATATTTTGTTCATAGAGGGTCACTGCATACATGACCTCAATTAGACTTATGAGTGTGCATTTCAGGGGCATTTACCATATGATAGGACAAATCAAAGGCATTTTAGGGAAGAAAAAAGGAGGGTTAAGAAGTCCTCTGTCTTTAGCCAGATAATAAATTTACTGAATGGAGATACCCCACGAATCTAAAGGTACGTGAATCCCTCAGGCTGACATAAGCTGAAATCTTAATGGCTTGCCTTTTACTTTTCTTAACATATTTCCATTTTAGAAGACAAAAGCTTAGAAGATGCTTAAATTCTTGGACACAAGCTAATTAGTCAGACACAGATCAGGGAAACATGACATAAGTAGCAAGCTGAAAAAAATGTGTTGTTGAAGCAACAAGGTCTTGATCATGTTTGGCAACCAGATTTTTGAACATTTCTTACATCTCCAGAAAATCATCTAAGCCTGTCTTATTCCTTTCCCTGTTTGGAAAGAGAATTCAGACTCTACATCTTGTAAGATTTTGTGTGCATGTATGTGAATACTAGATGCTGAAGGGGCATCCATAACTAATTCCTTGAAAAACTAAATATGTGAAAATGCTATGTTCTGTGAAATTTTTTTTTAATTAGCATTCTGCTTTTTAGGGAGACTTTGGTATGGTCTGGCCTCATGTCTACTATCTTTGGAAAGGCTTTTGGTTTGAGAACGGATACAGTGGGGAATCGTCAAGGGTAGGATGGTGGTGACTTGGCACACTTGTTAAGCGTGAAGATGGTGTGGTCAGTTTCTTCCACTGTTCTCTCGAGAAGCATAGACCTTCCTTAGTGAAAGAGCTATAACTCCTCATGTAAGGCTCTAAAGGAAGCTTCCTTGGCTTTCTTCAGCAAAGGCTCAGATCGGAAATGGGATCCATCTTTGTGGTAGGGAGGTGCGCCATGCCCTTCACAGCACCCTTGAGTTTGTTTGTGGAGGCTGAATAAGGTGCTTGCTCCCTACTAACCCAGCAGGGGCGCAGGCTCATGGATGCCCCGGGTCTTGTGAGCCAAGGCTTTTCCATGATGGCTGAGCTATGCCCTGGAGTCTGTCCCATGAATAGAGTTGGTTGGCAGCAGCTTGAGATTTCTGGCTCTCTTTGAACTCAATGGGAGTTAACACCAAAAGCTGTAAATGGCAGCTACATGAAAGATAACGTGAAAGGAACCGAAAAAAGACTCCTCTGCATAATAAATGTTGGAATTTAATATTTTGGTGACTGGAATAGAAAGCTGTGTGCTTTTATTATTAATCTTCCAAATACCTTAATTCCAACTAAAGTGATATTTTGTTCATAGAGGGTCACTGCATACATGACCTCAATTAGACTTATGAGTGTGCATTTCAGGGGCATTTACCATATGATAGGACAAATCAAAGGCATTTTAGGGAAGAAAAAAGGAGGGTTAAGAAGTCCTCTGTCTTTAGCCAGATAATAAATTTACTGAATGGAGATACCCCACGAATCACTGCCAAGTCTGTGATATCCTTCCTTGATTGATGGTTACCCCATCCCTCCTCTTTCAAATCTGTTAACACATGAAGAAAAATAGCATACCTTTTACATTACATGATGGTGCCTTTTTATTATTATTGTTATTCTTGGTTCTATCGGGTTCTAATTAAAGGTCCAGGTGGATATCAGTTAAGTCCTTTTTTACTGGGTTTCTAGATAATGCAGTGATCTGATGGGAATCAGGAGTGTGGTTCTGATTTATAGTAAGTACATATTCTTAAAGAAGAAAGAAGAAACCAAAATGAACATTTTGTTTTTAATTGTCTGCGAATAGTGAATGTGCTTCAGAAGTGTGCCTCGCCAGAGCCTATCAAAGTTGGGTCCAAGGAGTGCACTGTCTGATGAGAGAATGGGGGGATAGTTAATTTGCTGTAGAGTGATAAAATAAGGACAGATATGGGTGTTAGGAGAACTGAAATGAAGACACCTAGCTCTACGCTGGTGAGGGGCAGCAGTGCCGGGGTAGTCTTCTGGAGGAAATATTGTGCGAGCTGAATCCTTATTGTAGAAATGAAGTGTGATGCTTGTGAATGGAGGAGTAGCAAGCAGTCTGAGGGAAGATCGTGAACATCAGTCAAGCTCTGGTAACACCATCAATGAGTATTTGGAGTTAATATTTGTATATGAAGCCCAAGTATAGTAACTGAATAAGATCTGTAAGCCTTAAAATGACTTCTAGTATCATTCCAGTATCATCATGAGCCAAGCGTGTACTGACTCATTTTGCTAAATAAGGTTAATTAAAAAAAACAGTATCTGTTGCACTTATGTCTCTGCCAAACGACGTCAGAAAACTGCTCCCAAGCACATAAACGTGTGTTACACAGGAGGTGCTCTTCAGTATTTGTTAAATAAGGGATGGAATTATGGGGCTAATTGCAGTATAAGAAACAGTGATGGCCGTGGCAGTAGCAGAAGGAACGACAATAACTTATTGAATGTCATTTACCAAAGACCTGCCTAATAGCTTCCCATTTATTATCTCAATTAGCATAACCATAACTCTACGAGATAGGTATTATCTGTAACACCTTTATTAAGACATCATTTATATGCCAATAGAGTTTCACCCTTTGAAAATGTATAGTTTGATGTTTTTTTAGTATATTCCCTGACTTGTGTAAACATCACCACAATCTGAGACATTTACATCATCCCCAAAATAAATTTTTTATAGTCCAGCCCCTCTCATTTCTCTGAAACCTTCATCAGTCAGCCGTAGGCACCAATTAATCTAACATTCTGTGTTTATAGATTAGCCTGCTGTGGACATTTCTGATAAATGGAGGCATAAGATACATGGTCTTTTGTGACTAACTTCTTTCATTTAGTATACAGTATTCAAGGTTCATCCATGTTGTAACATGTTTAAAGGTTTCATTATTTTTGTTGGTAAATAATCCTTTGTATACATACGCCACTTTTTATTTTGATGTGTATCAGTTGATAGGCGTTGTTTGTATTTTCTTTGGTTTTGTGAATGGTGTTGCTATGAACATTTGTGTCCAAGCTTTTGTGTAGACAGAAGTTTTATCGCTTGAGTATATACCTGAAAGTGCAATTGCTAGATCATATGGGAATTCTGTGCTTAATATTTTAGCAGATTCTGAACCATTTTTCACAGTAGCTGCACCATTTTGCA